CCCCCCCCTTGCTCCTGCTTTGTCTTCCGCCGCGCTCGTATGCTGATTCTTTCCTCCCCCCCCTCCCCTGTCCCCTCCCGCGGCTTGCAGTAAGTCCACCTTCTTCAATGCCCTCACTCAGTCCGCCGTGCCGGCCGAGAACTTCCCCTTCTGCACCATCGACCCGAGCGAGGCCCACGTCTACGTGCCCGATGAGCGCTTCGACTGGCTGTGCGAGGTGGCCAAGCCCAGCAAGGTCTCCCCGGCCCATCTGACCGTCATGGATATCGCCGGTCTGGTGAAGGGCGCCGCCGAGGGCCAGGGTCTCGGCAACGCTTTCCTGTCGCACATCCGCGCCGTCGATGCCATCTTCCACATGGTCCGTGCCTTCGACTCCGATGACATCACCCACGTCGAGGGCGACATCGACCCCGTGCGTGACATGAGCATCATCCACAACGAGCTCCGCCTCAAGGATGAGGAGTTCCTCGAGCGCAAGAAGAACGAGCTCGACAAGAAGGGTGCCGGCCGTGGTGCCAACCGTGACCTCAAGGAGGAATACGTACGTCCGTTTATTTCTGTTTATTTCTGTCTATCTTTGTTTATCTTTGTTTATTCTTGTTTGTGTGTTTGTGTCTCTCTGTGTCTCTCTGTGTCTCTCTGTGTCTCCTTCTTCGCCCCTCCACTCCCTTCGCCCACCTGCCACGTCCCTCCTTTCACAGCGTCTGACCAGGCTCCCCCCACACCCATACACCCACAGGACATGGTCGTCAAGATCTACGAGCACGTCGCTTCCGGCAAGGAGGTCCGCTTCGGCGACTGGAGCGGCAAGGAGGTGGACTACCTGAACACCCTGCAGCTGCTGACCGCCAAGCCGGTGGTCTACCTGTGCAACGTCAACCAGGCCGATTACATCCGCAAGAAGAACAAGTACCTGATGAAGATCAAGCAGTGGGTCGACGAGCGCGAGGCCGAGAGCCCCATCAAGCCGGCCATCATCCCCATCTGCGTGGACATGGAGATGGCCGCCACCGCCCTCGGCTCCCCCGAGGAGAAGGAGGAGTTCTTCAAGTCCCGCGGCACCACCTCCATCATGCCCCGCATCATCACCACCGGCTACAAGGCCCTCAACCTCATCTACTACTTCACCCAGGGTGATGTCGAGGTTCGCGCCTGGACCATCCGCGTACGTGTGCCGGCGGCGGCCCCCTCTCATCTCCGCCCGCCCGCCCGCCCCCCCTCCTCCTCCTTTTGTGCCATGCAATCGCGTCCTTCCGCCATAGTTCGCCCTTCTCACAGGCCTTTCTTTTTCCCCCGTCTCCCTCCCGCTGTGGACTTCTCCCGCCCCCTTTTGTAGAAGGGCACCAAGGCCCCCCAGGCCGCCGGTGTCATCCACTCCGATCTGGAGCGCGGCTTCATCATGGCCGAGGTCATGTCCTTCGCCGACCTGAAGGAGGAGGGCTCCGAGGCTGCCTGCAAGGCCGCCGGCAAGTACAAGAGCAAGGGCAAGGACTATGTTGTGGAGGATGGCGATGTCATCTTCTTCAAGTTCAACGTCACTGCCCAGAAGAAGAAGTAAGCGCGCCGCGCTCCCTTCCCCTCCCCTCCCCCGCTCCGGCGAGAGGGCCAGAGGGGCTCCTCATCAGCGGACGCGCGGGGCGCGGAGAAAAGAAGAAAGAAACGAAGAGGCCAAGAACCCCCCCCCTGTCCTGGGCCCTTCTTCCTTTCCCGTCCACCGTCTGCTGCTGCCCGTCTTTTGCCCCCCGTGGCCGGCTCGACTGTGGCATGCACATTCAGCCCAGCTGGGCGGGTCTCTCTCTCTCTCTCTCTCTCCCCCCCCCTCTCTCTCTCCGCCGCTATATCATTCACCTCTCCCCACCAAATACACCCACCAAAATATGATCTCGTCCCCTTCCCTCTCTCTCCCCCCTCGCGTCTTCGCCCATGCGGGCGGCCGGGGACATATTCGCCCCCGCCTCGTCCTCCCCTCACGGACGCCGAGAGAGCCCGTCTCCCACGCTGCCACCGGAAGAGAAATGTGCGCCTCGGCGGGCTCCGGGGTGAGCCCGGCAGGGTGTGGCGGCAGGCGGCCTCCATGAAACTGGCCTGCCAGGCGGCGGGGGCACTCACTCTGCGCGGGATAAGGGCATCCCCCCCTCCTCCTGTGGGGCGCCCGATGAAGCCACTTCCGGGGTGTGGGGGCGCCGAAGAAGAAGGCCTGGCGGGGGGTGCCCCCTCCGGCGCCTCCTGGTCCCCTCGCGGCTCGTCCCTCTCCAGACGCACATTCGCCTCCTGTACCTCTCTCTCTCTCTCTCTCCCCCCCCGGACTCGGCTCTTGCCCCTCTCGCCCTCTCGCTTGAGCAATCTCCGGGTCGCTCCCTCGCCGGCGGAAACGGGCAGCGCGCCTCAAAAAGCAGTCTTCATTTATGGGCGAAGTGTGGGTCAGGTGCCAGTGAGCAACCGGTGTGTCCGAGTGGTTAAGGAGTCTGACTCGAAATCAGATGGGCTCTGCCCGCACAGGTTCAAATCCTGTCGCCGGTGCATTCTTTTTGCCGCCGGCCGCCCTGGGCGCCGATCACGCCCCTCGCCGCCAACATCAGGCCGGGACCACGTGCAGGCCTCCCACGATGCCCGGCCGCGCCAAGTGGCCCTGCCCCGGCACCATCCCCCCGGTGCAGAGGCGGCGCGTGCACGCGCGTGCAGAGACGCCCTGGGAGCCGGCAGCGGCCCTCGGGCCCACGCTTGCGCCCGACGGGGCCGGGGGGGGGGGTCCCAGCCGGGGAGGGGGGGGGGATGCCCTGTGCCGCCTTCACGGATGGGGATTGCCACGGCGGGACCCGCGGCGTGGGTAGCTGGCGCGGAGACGCCCGCGGGCGCGCGGGGGCACGGGGCGCACGCACAACGCGGTGCGCCGCCTGGTGCCCCGTCGCCCGGCCCTCTTTCGCGCGCCTGGGCTCCGCGCCTGGGTGGCCCCTCTGGGCCGGCCGCCCTCAGGCCGCGCGCGCGGCATCTGAAGTGCGTGGGTATCGCCAGGCCGCCGAGCCCGGCTCCTGGCAGAAGTCCCCTCCCTCTGTCTCTCGCCCCCTCCCCCTGCCACCATCCCCTCGCGCGTTCCATCCCCCGCCGCCCCCTCTTGCCGCCCTCCCCGCGCCTGGCTCCATTTTTCGCCCTCCCCCCTCTCCTCGCCGTCCCCTCGCCACCCCTCCCCGGGGACTCGCGCTGCCGCCGCGCCTCGCCCCTTCCCCTCCCACCGCTGCGTCCCGCTGGATCGCGAAGCCCCGGAGGCCCCCCACCCCCACCCCCGTGTAAAACGCCATCATGTCGATGCAAAGCTTTACCATCAATGACGTGAAGGTCTACCACGTCACCTCGGGCAAGTCCATCCCCGAGTGGATTGCCATCCAGAAGCAGCGCTCGCTGCGCAATGACCAGGGTGCGTGCCCTCCCTGCTCCTCCCTGCCCCTCCACTGCCTCGCCGCCCTCGCCCGCTGACGACCCTCCGCCGCCGCGCAGACTTCCGGAACCGCGTGGACCTGCTGCAGGATTTCGAGTTCCCCACCTCGGCGGCTCGGCTGAAGTACACCCCGGACGGATCGCACCTGTTCGCCATCGGCGTGTACAAGCCGCGCCTGCGCTCGTACGACCTCGGCCAGCTGAGTATGCGCTTTGAGCGGCACATGGACTGCGAGGCCACCCAGTTCCAGGTGTGTGGCCTTTCTTCTTGCCGTGCCTCCCCTCCTTCTGTCTTTGTTCTCGGCTCCCCTGGCCGATCCACCTGGCTGATCTCCCTCCTCTCGCTCCTCCCTGCCCAACTCCGGGGCGCAGTTCCTGTCCGACGATTGGACCAAGCTGGCCATCATGCAGGCCGACCGGACCATCGAGCTCCACTCGCAGGGCGGTCTGTACTACCGCACCCGCGTGCCGCGGGTCCGTTTCCCCTCCCCCCGATCCTGTCCATTCCTCCCGCTTGCCCTTGCCGCCCTTGCCGCCCTTGCCGCCCTTGCCGCTCAACTGGCCCGCTGACGCCCCGGCCGCCACCTGCAGTTTGCCCGCGACATGACCTACCACCGCGGCACGTGCGATCTGCTGATTGTCGGTGACAGCAGCGATGTCTGGCGCCTGAACCTCGATCAGGGGCGCTTCCTCAAGTCCTTCGAGACCAGCTGCAAGGCCATCAACGTGCGCTTGCGCCTCCGCCCTGCCGATGCTCATCCCCCCCCCCCCCCCCCTTTGGTGGTTTGTATTGACATGTGTATCCTTGCGCCTCCCCCGCTCGGTGTGCGTCTCCGGTGCCTCCTCCTCCTCCTCTTGCCCGTCACCCAGGTCTCCAAGCTCAACCCCGTGCACAACCTTGCCGCCTTCGGCTCGGAGGATGGCACCGTGGAGTTTTGGGACTCGCGCCAGCGCGAGGCCGTCGGGTCGCTGGCCGTGGCCGGCGATGTTCTCCGGCGCTTCCCCGATGTGGAGGCCCTGCCCGAGATCACGGCCCTGCGCTTTGGCAATGACGGTCTCACCTATGCGGTGGGCACCTCCTCCGGGCATGCGCTGCTCTACGATCTGCGCATGAGCTCGCCCTCCATGGCGCGCGACCACCAGTATGGCTTCCCGGTGACCGACATCAAGTTCCATGCCAGCGGCAACATCGTCTCCTCCGACAAGAAGTCCATCCGTGTGTGGAACAAGGACACCGTGCGTGTGCCGTGGCGATTGTTCTTCCTTTCCTTCCTCCGACCCAGCCGCCGGCCTCTGTGCTCCCTCTCTAACCTGCGCCGCCATCCGCTTGGACTTGGTCTTCTTGCATGTGTCTCCCCCCCCCTCCCCTTCATCCACTCCCCACCCGTTCCCGCGAAAAATATCATCACCATCATCATTATTATCATCACCACCACCACCACCATCATCATTATTATCATCACCACCACCACCATCATCACCACCACCATCACCACCATCACCAACAACAACAACAACAACAACAACAACACCATCACCACCACCACCACCACCACCACCAACAACAACAACAACAACAACAACAACAACAACAACAACAACACAGGGCAAGGCCTTCTGCTCCATCGAGCCCACCTCCGACATCAATGACGTCTGCCTGGACGGCCACAGCGGCCTGATCCTCACGGCGCAGGAGGAGCCACGCATGCACGCGTACTATGTGCCGGAGCTGGGCCCCGCGCCGCGCTGGTGCGCCTTCCTGGACAACATCACCGAGGAGCTGGAGGAGACCAAGCAGACCACGGTCTACGACGATTACAAGTTCGTCACCGAGTCGACGCTGGCCCAGTTGGGGCTGGAGCACCTGGTCGGCACGCCGATGCTGCGCGCCTACATGCACGGGTACTTCATGGACGCGCGGCTGTACAGCCGCGCCATGGCCGTGGCCAACCCCTTCGCCTACGAGGAGTACCGGGCCAAGCAGATCCAGGAGAAGATCGAGAAGGACCGCGAGTCGCGCATCTCCCTGCAGCGTAAGCTGCCAAAGGTCAACCGGGCCCTGGCCGAGTCGCTGCTCATCGAGCAGGAGGAGCAGGCGGCCAAGCGCAAGCGCCGCGGTCTGCCGGTCGAGGGCGAGGACCAGGAGGCCTCGGCCGATCAGGACGCCGCCTCGGCCAACCCCCTCAAGGACAGCCGCTTCGCGCGCATGTTCCAGGACGAGGCCTTCGAGATCGACACCGCCTCCGAGGAGTACAAGCTCCTGCATCCGGAGCGCCGGCTCCGGTCTTCGGCCCTGGAGGACAAGTTCCAGCGTGTGGCCGGGGACTCCTCGGACGACGAGCCCTCGGGCCGGCGGGCCTCTGCCGGTGCTAGCAGCCTGACGGCCGACATGTTTGGCTCCGATGATGATGATGGTGCCGACAGTGACGAGGACATGTCGACCTTCCTGCGGCGGCGCCAGGCCCGGCATGAGGCCCGCGCGCGTGGCCTGCCCACTGGCAGCCTGAGTGACGACGAGGATGCCGGGGGATCTGCCGGCGGCAAGTCCACCGGCCCGCGCATGTATGCCCTCAAGTCCGGCATGACCCAGCGCGATGTTCACCAGGCGGCCACCACCTCGCAGAGTGCCCTGCGCCAGCAGGATATCACCCGGCGCCGGGCTCTCGGTGATCGGGTCAGTGCGGCCGGCGATGCGTCGGCCGACTCGGTGCGCGCCGCCGTCGGCGGCATGGAGGCCCGCTTCGATACGGACACCCGCCGGGAGGGCGGCTCCGGGGGTGGTGGTCGCGGCCGCGGTGGCCGCGGCGGTGGCCGTGGCGCCGGCGCCGGTGCTCGCAGCAACAAGTTCTTCTCCAGCCGGCCCTCGGCCGGGAAGCACGGTGCCGAGGGTGGTGCCTCGGCGGACGGGCACCGCCGGCGGAAGTTCATCGAGCCGGGTGCCCGCGGCGGCGGTCGCGGCGGCGGTCGCGGCGGCGGTCGCGGTGGTGGCGGTCGCTTCTGAGCTGGCCGAGGGAGGCCCTCGGCCTCTGCGAGACATGCGGCCCCCTTGCCGCTCCGCCCCCCGTCCCCCCTCTTCATGGGCGCCTGGTCGGCGGTTTTCCCGCCTGGCTGGTGGGCTCTTTCCCTGCACCTTCGGGTCTCCCTTCGCCGGCCGCGGTGCTCTGCTGCTTTCCCTTCGCCTAGATGCGCGCGCCCGGGCGTCTTCCCGGTGGTGTGCCCCCCCCCCCCCCCCCCCCCTTCCCCTGTTATTGTCTCCCCCTCTGGAATTGCCCTTGTGATTTCCCCTCCAGACTTGCCTTCGACGATGGAGGCGGGCAGGAAGATGCACTACTCTTCGAGTCGCCGTCTCTCTCGCTCTCTCTCCCCCTCTCTCCTCCCCCACGAAGAGCCCAATATACACACACACACACACACACCTGCCCCCGCCCGGAACTCACGATCCTCGTGGGAGGGGACACCTGGCGGGGCTGACAGTGGCAAGCGCAGCGAAGCAGGCGGAGGGATGGAGGGAAGTACAGGCGCGCAACTGTGGACACACTGGCCACCGAAGACAGCGCTGCCGCGTTTATCTAGGGGCGGCGGGGCCGAGTGTGTTCAAGCAGGGGAATCCGAAGCCGGGACAGGGCGGGGGAGAAGGATAGGAGGGGAGGGGGGGGGGCGGAAGCGAGGTGCAGCATGTGCGACGCACAGCCACGCGGCACCCCGCGCACGCCCAGCCCGAGGGGCGAGGGGAAAAGTATTTTACAGGGGTTTTGGTTTTGGATTGTGTGCGTAGGAGAGAGAGAGAGAGAGAGAGGAGGGGGGGGGGAAGGGAGGGAGAGGGGCGCACACCGCGGGCCCGCCCGCGCAGATGCGTCCCCCTCTACCGGCTGCCGGCCTTGGGGGCACCGGTGGCCGGCGGGGCCCCGGCGCAGAAGGCCTCGAAGAAGGCAGCCTTCCGGGCGGCCGACTCGCGGCGCAGGTCCGGGCTGGCCAGGGCCCGCTCGAGGACCAGGCCGACGGCCATGTCATTGAAGCACGGGAGGACGATCTTGTCGAAGAGGGTCCGGCCGCTGGCCGAGACCACCTGGTGCCGGGGGGCGCTGAAGGTGGCGAACATGTCGGCCACCTCGGCCTCGGCGGCCCGGTAGGCCGGCTCCAGCTCCAGGGGAATGATGACGGTGATGGGGAAGCGCGTGTGCCCGGGGCGAATGTCCTGCATGATGTCCGTGCCGGCCGGGATGCACCCATGGCAGAAGTGGCACCCGGGCTTGGGGCCGCCCTCGGCCGGCAGGGGGATCTCCACCGAGAGGGTGACCCGCGGGCTGGCGGCCACATACTGCTGGATGAAGGCCACCACGTCCAGCTGGCCGGCCGCGCCGGGGGCCTGGTCGCCGGCCGGGCCGCCGGTGGCGAACTCCCGCGCCCAGGCCTGGTACTTCATGAAGTCCGCCTCGGAGGTGACGCCGGCCGTGCCGGCCGCCGCGAAGCTGGCCATCTGGCAGAAGGGCACCGGGAAGTACTTGGCCGCGAAGAGCGGCAGGTAGCGATCCGGCGTGCGCTCCGGGCTGGTGAGCCCGGCGTGCATGTCGTCCGGGCCGCCGGCCTCGGCCCCGTGGTCTTCGTCGTCCGGCCCGCCGGTCTCGCCGTCCGACCACTCGATCAGGTGCGACGGGTCTTCCACCTCGTCGAAGTCGTCCGCGTAGTCGACCTGGTTCGACGCCATGCTGGCGGCGGCCACAGGCTCGCTGGTCATCTTGGAGATATCGGCCATCGGGGATGGGGTGTGGGCGTGTGGGCGTGTGGGTGTGTGGGG